TGTGAAGCCCATGACAGGTCAGCAGGCTAATAAAGCAAGGGATGCTTTGGCTAAGCATGTGTATGAGCAACTGTTCACTTGGACAGTGCAGAGGCTCAACTCATCCTTAAGAGCGCACTGGGAACAGCCCAAATCTTTCATAGGAGTTCTTGATATCTGTGGGTAAGAGTTATTTTGTATGTAACAAAAGAAAAATGTACATGAAGGATTGTTTGGTCAATCTCTTCTTTGATAATTTATAGGTTTGAAACTTTTGACAGGAATAGTTTTGAGCAATTCTGTATTAACTACGCAAACGAGAAACTCCAACAGCAGATCAACAGGGTAAGTTTCCAGATATTGGGACTTGGTGTACATAGGTGTCTAACATCTTCTGTCTAGTGAAGAGTGACTTAGTCCTTGAAGGATTGCTCCACCCTAGTAGGGTGACCATACGTCCTCTTTTTCCTGGACATGTACTGGCTGGGATTTCTAAATTGCCTAAAATGTCTGGTTTTTCCTATTGACATTCCAATTCCTTCTTGAACACTGCGATGGGTAGATTATTGTAAGCCAGCACCTGAACCACAGCCCTCACTTTCGTAAACCACACATGTCCAACTTTGCCTTCATCATTGTGCATTTTGCTGATATGGTCAGAAAACATAACTTCACCAATTGAAGGCACCAAACCTTTCAATGTTTGATATTATTGCTGGCTTTTTGAATTAGGTCCAGTATGAGTGTGACGGCTTTTTAGACAAAAACCGAGACACTGTATTTGAGGAGCCCATCAATATACTGAGAGCTAGTCAGGTATTTTTTGAATAGTTCAAGTCTTGGCTGTTGAAAAATTTAGCTTTGTACTCACTCTGCCTCCTCACGACTGTTTGTACCCTTCACAGTCAGAACTAGTTGCCGAGTTGTTCAGAAGGAGTCAGCAGGTGGATCCCTCCCCAACTCCTCTCTTGCAAACGGGAGCATACGTTCAGGGAAGAGAGCTCATCGAGAGCACAAATTAACTATGGGCTTTCAGGTGAGCTGCTTCTCCTGGTTCCTGTCTAAAGAAAACTCTTGATTAACCAGTCATGCTCAAGTCCATCTAATGCTGGCTGCACACTAGACGATTTTAAAACCATGGGAGTTCACAGACATGAAGACAGTTTCAACTGATTTTTAGCCTTATAATCCTCTGAACGTGCACACTAGACGATTCGACCACATCGCGAGACCACACACTTGTCGATTGTAGGAACGATTTCACAGTGACACGAGCTCTCACGGAGACTCGCGAGATCAAATGTGACTAGAGAAGATAAACAAATGGAGAACAATCGACATTGTCAGCTGGCTCTCCCAGCGCGCGTTCTGTTTCACAGTGAAAAACAAAGTATAAAAAAGAATATGGGTGATGTATTCTGCTTTCGTGGCATGTTTGTGGCTGCCAAGTTTCAGCTATAGAAGCACTCAACATCTGGTAAGTGATGCTCGCTCGCTCTCATTGGCTATCGCGGGTATCACGTCAGAGTCACGTAATCACGTCATGACACCACACCATAGAGGATTTTTTGGACAAAAAATCGTTTGCGACAAGCCTCAAATCGGGCCACACCCCCCAATCAGGCTTAAAATCGGCCTTAAAATTGTCTAGTGTGCAGCCAGCATTAAGGTATTCTTTGACTCTTAAGGTCTTAAATTTCTACCTTTTCTTACATATTCTCTTTGTGTGTCTAGTTTCGTCAATCCCTGCAACTTTTGATGGACACCTTGAACAGCACCACACCGCATTATGTCCGCTGCATAAAGTCCAATGACCTCAAAAATTCATTTCTGTAAGAGAATAAATAAAATGTCATTTGTGTTCATGTCTATTTGAGTTTGAGTAACCTTTTCTCGTCTCTCTATATCAGATTTGATTCCAAGCGAGCAGTGCAGCAATTGCGAGCATGTGGAGTCTTGGAGACCATCCGAATCAGTGCCGCAGGCTACCCCTCCAGGCAAGTACTCTTCTATAGGTCTCTCAATTCAGTTCCCTCTTCCATCCCTGACTCTGTACTCCAGGTGGACATACGAGGAATTCTACACTCGTTATCGGGTGCTGCTACGTGGTTCTGTTTCTAAAGATGATATGCGCCATTTCTGCCAGAGTGCTCTTCCTGATCTCATCCCTGATCCAGAGCAGTATTCCGGGCCGGACAGGTTGCAGTACTGGAGAAGCTGAGAGGGGATCGGCTACATGCGGCAGGAGTTTTGATCCAAAGCTGGGTGAGAGGATGGCTGCAGCATAGGCATTATCAGCGGCTCCGGTGGGCCACTTTCATCCTGCAGCGGTACATCAGAGGAACCCTGGGCCGAAGGTGGGTTAGAGTGTTACCTAGTGAGCACTCAATGTACTGTATGCTTTTTAGGTCCTATTCTGGTTGAGTATTTTTTTCTAATGGGTGTTTTTGTATATTTGTGACTCTAATTTGAAGTACGCGCTTCAATGTTACCTAACCATTAGGTTGGCGTGGAGCCTCCGTTACACACGTGCAGCTTTAATCATCCAGAAAACATACCGCATGCTGGCTGTGCGACAGCTTGATCTTACCATCAGAGAGGCCACCATCAAAATCCAGGCTTTCATCAGAGGCACTCAGGCTCGTCGGATTTATAGACAAGTAAAATGCTTCATGTGTGTCTGGGTATAGTTACAAAAATACAAATAAAGTTACAGGTACATTTCCCAGAATGCTATAAGGATAACAGAGAAACAATATTTTCAGTTTCAGATGCATCAGAGCTGCAGTGGGGCTCCTGCAGTGCTGCGTGCGCAGGCGAGCGGCGCGGAAAGAGCTGTTGCTCCTGCATGCTGAGGCTCGGTCGGTGGAGAAATAACTCAATAAAGGCATGGAAGTCAAACTCATGCAGCTGCAGCTCCGAGCCGACCAACAGGTAAAAGCGTCGGTGTTTAGTTGGGATGTTCACAATTCTGTAATCCCTTTATTAAAATTAACAATGGTTTAAATTAACCATGGTTTTACTGTAGTAAAAATGTAACAATGTTTTTTTTTTTTTTTGGCGTATTGATTGCATTTTGTATAATCAGTTTTACTACATGTTACATACCCAGGTTAAACTATGGTTAGTGTAGCAAAACCATGGTTAATTTGCGGCTACCATGGTTTAACTATGTTTCTGTGGTTTTATTTGTACTAAACCATGGTTAATTTTCCTAACAGAATGATTTTTTCCCCAATAAAAGTATTTATTTATTTAATAAATATCACCTTTTTTTTTTATAACTACTTGTCATGATGTAAGTAATGTTCAGTGTTGGGAAAAGTTCATGCATTAGTAGTGCATTACAATATTGTGTTACTCCCTTAATCCAAAAGGCTCTTTCACACCAAAAGTGAAATGAATAAGCCTCAGGCTGAAGGAAATATAAATTCACATCTGTACAGCAGAGGGTGCAACTCAAACCTTTCAATTGTGCTGCCATTCTGGATTGCATGAGGAATAGGACGCAGGAGAAGAAAGTTCAACACTCTTCAACAATAAAAAAAACAAACACAAAACCCCCCACAAATGTTATGTTTATCTATAGTCATTTTTGCTTATTAGTAAGGTTGAATTGGATTGTCGAAGGTCAGCAGCAAAGACTGGTTAATAAAATGGAATTAAATACATAACGGATATTTGTATAATTTAACATAAGTTGATTTTTGCAGGTTTGTATTTAACTGTTTTTATTCATTTTGAAGAATCTGTTTTTGTGAAAGTGAGATGAGTAAATGCATGTTGAGATTTAGTCTAGAACTACAGTAACTATTATGTTTACACAGTGCACACAACGCCTCTGCATTTACTCCTGATTTCAGGTATTTTCTTGTAAATCAAAAATAAATGCGTTATTTTACTAGTTACTTCAAAAAGTAATCTGATTATGTAACTCCTGTTACTTGTGATGCATTACCTCCAACACGGGCAGTATTTAAATTGTTAAATAGTGTTGTATATTGTGACTCGTGTGTCCGGGTTTGGTATCGTTTGAATTGTATCGATTCCGGTTCCGATTCTGCTTATCGATTCCGATTCTTATCGATTCCCAATTCCGATTCCAATAAGATAAAAAAATCCATTAAACAAATTTTAAATTTGGTTAACATCAGTCACTTTATTTTCCTTAAACAACTTTCTTTTCTTGCAAGGCAGCTGGTTCCATTGACATGGGCTAGTTTTGTTTGTTTACTCTAGGAAATCCAAGCTCTCCGAGTTGAGAGAGAGAGTTGAGAGAGATTCTTTGGAGAAAGAGAGGGATGATCTGGCCATTGGTTTACAGGATCAGAAAAAAGCTCTGGAGGGTCAATCATGTGTCTGCCACAGTGTCATTTTCACCATCTCAACTCATGTATTGTTTAAGAAATTAATGAGATGGCCGACTAATTTGAATGGATTTAAAGACACACAATAAATATGAAAATAGTATAAACATAGTCGAGTAAACACTAATGAAAGTGTTTGTGTGTCTGTATGTTTCAGAGAACCGTCAACAGACTGAGGCATCAGTGCGAGCAGAGCTGGAAGAGGAGAGGAGGAGATACCAGAGTTTACTGAGAGAATTCACAAGACTAGAGCAAAGATACCACAACCTGAGGGATATGAGCTTATTTACAGCCAATGAGGTACATCTTTACTGAAAGCGATGGGTGGCCAAGAAGTCAGTCTCCTTCTGCTCACCTCACGTACATCAGATTGATACTCTGGAAGTCATAAATGACTTATATCATACACATTACATTGTACGTTTTCAGGTTCCTAGAGAGGCAGCTGTTGTCTCAGAGAGCGCAGTGGGAGCAGGAGATATCAGATCTCAGGATGAAACTCCAGCAGGCTCAAGACAGAGATACACCTGGAGATCCTGAGATGAATGTACCGGTTCCATTTGAACTTACCATTTATTGTTCTTTGTACTTTGTTAATTTGTCATTTTTGCTTCTTTATGTGTGTTTATGAAGGCCCTAACAGAGCAGGTGGTGGTTCGAGAGCAGGAATGCGTCCGGTTGTGACGGGAACTCAAGGAACTGAAACACACCGTGAGCCTCAGGAGAATCCTGTCTTATGCAGGTCTGTGTAGGTCCAAAAAGTATTTGGACACCTAAACTACACTCTTAAAAATAAAGGTGATGCCATATAGAGGAACCATTTTTGGTTCCCAAAAGAAGCTTTCAGTGAACACTTCTTAAAAGAACCATTTTTATATTTGTGTGAAGAACTTTTTAAAAATCTAAAGAACTTTTTTACATTATAAGGAATGTTTTTTTTTTTGGAATGGGAAGGTTATTTTTAAGATTGTACCTTTTTAAATGTTTGAGGATTTTTTTTATGTTTTTGAAAGAAGTCTCTTATGCTCACCAAAGCTGCATTGATTTGATCAAAAGTACAGTTAAAATAGTAATATTGTGAAATATTATTACAGTTTAAAATAACTGTTTTCTGTTTGAATATATGTTCAAATGTAATTTATTCCGGTAATGGAAAGCTGAATTTTCAGCATCATTACTCCAGTCTTCAGTGTCACATGATCTTTCAAAAATCACTCTGATTTGCTGCTCAAGACACATTTCACATTATTATTAATGATAAAATCAGTTTTGCTGCTTAATATATTTTTGTGGAACCCATTATACATTTTTATCCGAGAATTTATAGGAAGCTCAAAAGGAAAAGCATTTATTTGAAATAGAAATATTTTGTATCATTATAAGTGTCTTTACTGTCACTTTTGAGCAATTGAATGTTTCCTTGCTTAATAAATGTATAAATTTTTTTTCTTTAAAAACAACCAAACAATGTTTGAGCTAGTGCTGTCAAACAATTCATTGCGATTAATCACATCCAAAATAAAAGTTTTTGTTTACATAATATGTGTGTGTACTGTGCATATTTATTATATATATATATATATATACACACACATGCATGTATACATTTCAGAAAAATATGTTACATTTATATATTAAATATATTTATATATGATATCAATTAAATATATATAAACTAAATATATATAAAAAATTTCAAAATATATGCTGTATGTGTGTGTATTTATATATACATAAATAAACACAGTACACACTCATATTATGTAAACAAAAACTTTTATTTTGGATGCGATTAATCGTTTGACAGCACTAGTTTGAGCTTTAAAATATCTGAATGCCATTACAGTTTACAAAAAATTATCAAATCAGTTTTTTGTATTTTAATGAAAAGTAGCACAAACGCACTTCTCAAGCAAAACATTTCAGAAAAAGAAGTTTGTTATAAGATTCAAATCAGGATTCAATAGATATAATATTGAAAATGTATTTAATGCGCAGGTGTGGCCAAAGCTGCATCCCAGGACCCAACATCTCCTGCCCCTCAGAAGAGCCAGATACTACTGGAGTGCAGGAAGAAAGATGAGAGCAAGCTGATCAAACACCTCATAACAGGTCAGCAACACACAAACACTTGGAGTTTAGTTTTGAGACTGTAATTCCTGCGGACTGAGATGCCTGAATGTTTCTCTGTGGCAGATGTGAGGGCGGAAGGTGTCTTGTCTTTGTCCCCTGGACTGGCAGAAAGAAGAAAGTCATATACACCTAGGATGGCTTGAGGGTGAGTAAATAATGGGCTAATTTTCATATTTGGGTGAACTAACCCTTTAAGCTAACTGAGACTTGCTATAGCACTTGCATATCATTGCTCTTTTGTTGATTTTGATTGCTTCCATTGTCCTTATTTGCAAGTCGTTTTGGATAAAAGCGTCTGCTAAATGACTAAATGTAAATGTAAATTTATTCCCAAAAATGGGAATTACAGTAAGAAACTGGAAGTGTATGGAACCAATTTTAAAGGGTTTAAACTAAAGGGTTCGTTCACCCAAAAATGAAAATTCTGTCATTAATTACTCGCCCTCATGTCGTTCCAAACCCGTAAGACCTTCGTTCATCTTCGGAGCACAATTTAAGATATTTTTGATGAAATCTGAGAGCTCTCTTACCCTCCATAGACAGCAACACAACTGTAATGTTCCCAAGTTCAGGAACATAGTAAGGACATCGGTAAAACACTCCATGTGACATCAGTGGCTCAACCTTTGCTGTATATTCTCACCGGAGCTTACGCTACACCTACGTCATCCGCTGGAACGTCACTCTCTCATGAACGTGTGTATGACAGTGAGATTACGCTTTATAAAGCTTTAAATATGGATATTTTTCATACACAAATGCATCGCTTCACTTCAGAAGGCCTTTATTAACCCCTGGAATCATATGGAGCATACTTTATGCACTTTTTTGGGCTTAAAAATCCCGACACCCATTCACTGCCATTATACATTTTGAAAGAGCCAGGACATTCTGATTGTATTTGTCTGAAAGAATAAAGTCATATAGACCTAGGATGGCTTGAGGGTGAGTAAATCATGGGCTAGTTTTCATTTTTCGGGTGAACTATCCCTTTAAGAATGCGTAAAGGCCAGAACAAATTTTAATCTGCATCTGGGAAACATGTTTGATGTGTATAGAGTAGATTTTAAGACATTAATTGTTGTGCGATTCATGTTGTAGAAACACGGCAATGATCTGGACGTGACGGCTGTGTGGCTGAAGAACGCTAACCTGCTCAAAGACCTGCTCTACCAGCACTCTCCCCGACTGAATGTCAGCAGTTTCTTTAGTTCTTTTGCAGAAATGACTTCAAATCGAAATATGCCTCTTCTCCTGCAGGACGTGAGGGGCTCAGAGGAGCTGATTCCTCTGGTGACGGATGTGCAGGACTCTGTCCGGGCGCTCAGTGATCTGTGTATTCAGGCCAATCAGCAGCTGCTGTCCATCTCCGAGAGTCGCCTGCAACCCATCATCGGTACAGTAATACAGACACAAAGACCTTTCTTACACAGCTGCCAATGACCTTGATATATATATATATATACAGTATATGTATATTGAAAATTCTAATTTTCTCTGGATTTATGATTTATAGCTATGCGTTTGAATAAAACATATTTTTTGTTTTATTCTGTGAACATGTTGATGACATTTAAAAAACAAAAAAAAAACATTTAAATTAAATTTTAAATAAAAATGTCATTTAGAGCATGAAATGACAATTGATGACAGATGACATGTTTATATTCATTTTCAGACAACACAATACCAATGTTTAACTTCAGAAGAGTTAAGAAATCATTATTTGGTGGAATAACCCTGATTTTCAATCACAACAAATGAAAACATTTGTTATTTTGACCAATTGTCACTTTCTGCAAAAAAAAAAGCTCTAAATGATCATTCTAATGATATATTTGAACATAAATTGACATTTAATTTAATAACTTTCATTAATAATATGTTTATATACATATGTAATATACATAGTGTGTATGTAATTGATTATATGAACATAATTTTAATATACGTAAACAAACACATACATATAAATTTTTAATATTAACAAACTATAAAAATAATTGTATATTATATAAATAATATAACATATTAATATACTTTTATTACATTATTAATACATTGTAGATACATGTATAATATAATAAATTACATATACACATTTTTATGTCATTTATGTGTAATTTATTATTTATTTGTTGTAATTTATATATTTTTATATTTATAAATAAATGTAAATTATATACACGTGTGTATATATACATGATTGTAATATATGTATATATACATTTATATAAATATATGAATTTATTTACTCTCTTTCTGTGTGTGTGTGTATATATATATATATATATATATATATAAAAATAAATGTGTGTGTATGTATATATATATATATATGTGTGTGTGTGTGTGTGTAATTTTTTCCTGTGATGACAAAGCTACATTTTCAGCGTTATTAGTCCAGTCTGCTTTATTATCAAATGATTAAAATGTTTTTTAAAAAAAAGATACAGTTTCATTAGGAATTTCTTATGAATAAATGTATTTTGGTCTGTTTTGACTGACTGTCATCAAACCTGGACTCAATGTCTGGACATAATTTGGTTTTAATATAGTCTTGGGGCTGACATTTTATCTTTTTCGCTCCTTTTTGCTGAATGCAGGGTGAATAGTACAATGCCATGAATTGTATAACCACTCTGAAGAGTTTATTTGCAAAAACAGATAACTCCGTTTTTTTACATTTTCAAAAATCACGTTTTTTATTATGTAATCATGTTTTTATTGTGTTAGCTGTAATTTTTTGTTATTTTTTAACCTTATCAAAATAACCCAACTGCAGTTTGATTGAGATTAATTGGAATGCACAATGAAAAAACATGATTTCTGAGAAAATGATACCATTATATATATATCATTATAATTAATTTATATATATATAATAAAATATAACATATGCTTGTGTACCCTTCTCTTAACTTTAGTCCCAGCAATGCTTGAAAGTGAGAGCAATCCTGGTCTGGCTGGATCATCAGTGAAGCTGCGTGCCGGTCATAAGCGTGTCAGGATCTGCCCTCGGCCCTGCAGGAGCAAGCCTTCCATCAGCTCATGTAGGCTACCTGCTGGCCGCCTCCACCCCCAACAGCTTGCTGCTGCGCAAAGACATGTGCTGCTGGAACCACGGCCTGCAGATCAGGTCAGAACTGCTCTGGCTTCGGTTACTTACACATCTGCTTGAGTGCCTTGAACTGAATAGTTACATCTGTATAGTCTAAGTATAATGTGAGTTTACTGGAGGAGTGGCTGCGCAGTCGTTTGCTGCAGACAGGGGGCGCTGTGACCGCGCTGGAGCCACTCATACAAGCAGCACAGCTTCTTCAAATGAGCAAGAAGACTGAAGCTGATGGACAAGCCATGGTCCAAGCCTGCAATGAACTGTCCAACCAGCAGGCGGCGCACCTGTTATAAAAGTTACATGTCAGGCAATATAAAATCAAAATTTTTCTTGATAAATATTTTTATTATAAACAAAATTGATTTTTAAATGTTTTTTTTTACATTATATAAATTGGGTATATATAATTTAATGTATGAATTTAATTATATTGAATATAATTATATTTGTATACTAGAATACATTTTTGTCTTGGTAAACCTTAAGTTTATAATATATATTATATAATATATAACCTTCATTATAATATATTTATAGACATATATAATAATATAATATACACAGCTTGTAGAAAAATCTAATTGATTTACAATTAATTTATTTTAAATATACACATTTGTAATTTTACTTTCTGTTAACAACAAATTAAATATAATATAAATAAAATTATATATAAATTGTGTATATGTAGCGTCTGGACCAATCAAACACACAATTTTTCATTTGATTTAACAAATCAGTTATTCATTAGATTAACAAGTCGTCACAGACCCCTCACCCAATAAACTGGATGCCAGAATGTCTGCAATGACACCAGGCCCCCCCTGGTCCCCATGGCAACTACTACACCTCTGCTAGACCAGATCCATTTACGACCTAATGGCATGCTGAGAATTTCCCCTCGCACTGCATTTTCCATAGGAAATCCACAGTGCACAGTAAAAATGGATTCTTCTCTGATTAATTAATAGGAAAACCTTTCTTTGAATGAACACACATATCCTTCAGGTCATGGTGTATGTTGTCTTTGAGATTTTATACTGTTTTATGCAGACTCATTCCTGTCATCTTACATATATGTAACCCTACCATGTTTAGTATCTATGAATTCGTCTTCTGATGATCTACATGTGTGCATGTGTATGTTAGACCAGTTTAAGTGTTTATGTAGTTAATAAAGTCTTATTTGTATCACACTTGACGTTGTTCATTGTTTGCTCATAACTGGAGTCACTTAATCATGCAGATTTATGCTACAAGCTCTGTGTAGAGTTGTACAGTAAGAAAGTTATTTCCTTTAACCAGGAAATTAACGTTCTTAGAATTGACAGACAGTTGACCCTGAGAGATCAGCTAAATATCTACAGCGGATCTAAATATTTATAATTAATTATAACTAGTTATGATTAATTATTCATATTTCCCCATGAGCTGATTTGCTACAATATATAATTTATATGTAAATGTATTATTATTAAATTATATTGAAAGTTTGTGTAGAATTATATATAACATTATATAAATTGTATATATATAATTTAATATGTTTGAATGAAATAATATTGAACGTAATTGGATACTAGAATCAAATTTTGTCTTTATAAATCTTAGTTTATAGCATATGATTTATAACTTTCATTATAATATATTTATACACATATATATAATGTATTATAATATAATATAAAATATATAATATAATATACTTACATGAAAATACAATATACAAATATAAAAAAATAACAAAATTTATTTTAAATACATTTGTAAATGTATTTTACGTTAACATAATTATAATTAAATAATATGGATAGAATTATGTATAATTAGTGTATATATAATTATGTAAATGTAATATAGTAAAACTATTTTAAATGTTAATTATATACACGTATATAGGTGTGTGTATGTATTTGTATGAAATTTAATTTCAATTTTAATTTCAATACATGTTCAATATATATGATAAATTATATATACACACAATTTTTTGTTGGCATGCTAATTGTATTTGCA